TTTACTCACTGAATGTCGTATTTTCCAATTTTCTCATCACTCAGTCGGTATAATGATTCTTGTTTTTCGTCCTACTTCCACCGACTTGCTCTTTTGGGGAATTCTGCCATCTCGAACCATTTTCTCTGACACCCTGTCCACTTTGTGTTCCATTGGTCATTATGTTTACTGCCACCTTCAAAGATGTCCCTTTGGGCTTCTCATATACGGATGGTTATGTTGTACATTTGATCATGCCTATGCATGCTTCACGGGGCTCCGTGAAGTATATGTGTGGAACATAGCTCATCATGGTGCATACTTTTTTAAGTATTGTATATATATTTGCAGGTATACATACTGCCTTGCTTTATCCCACTCAGCATAGTATTCGCGAAATTCTTCATTTCTCCTAACCCCTTCTCAGCTGGGTATTACCCCAGACTGTTGTGTATCGTCTTTATGTTCTAGATTTGGTTGGTTTGGGCCTGTCGAATGCTTGGGGTCCTCACCCACAATGGACAATTTGGCTCCGGCAATGGTTGTTGGGCACGGCTGTATTCACCGTTTTGACTACATGCGTCCGCATTCCGGATCAGGTTGAGGATCACACCCCATACCTCACCAAACAGGTGTTTTAAGGTTGGGTGTCCGGCGTGTGGTCGGTCCCACATCAAAGAGACCAACGCCTAAATAATCTAAATCAATCCATTATCGATCGAAGCCACGAATCCAACGAATGTTTCCTTCGAAGCATGCCTCGTTGCAGCAGACGGAGAAACATGTACTTGGAAAAACTTATGAACTCTTTCTTCCCTTTCATTTCTATCCGTGAGTGCCCATCTCCTCTCGTTCTTTGTTTCACTGACCGTCGATCTGTGTTTTCTACCATTATTTTCACACGTCTAATCCTCTCAATACAAGGATCACTCTTCCTTTAATTTCCATTGATATGCTTATCCAGTGAATTCCTCCATCCTCCACACTTACTTCAGTGACCTTGTTTGCTTTATGTTCCGTTTGACTTGCGTTTTTGTTCCGCACTTTGTTGTAAATATGATTATTTTGAACATTTGATCATGCTTTGTGCATGCTTCACGGTCTTCGTGAAATATACATTATTATTGTTATTATCATCTGTCACCTCAACTCTCCAACTTGGCTAATATAGATATGGCTATTACCATTCGTAGAAGACGGTGGTAATCTATAAACTGTGTGGCACTTATCAGTCGTGGAATAGTTACAGACGAGCGCACAACTATGCGCATAAAGTGCAAAGGGAGGCTGAATACCAATTCAAGAGAAATCTGATGCAAAACGTCAAACAAAGTCCTAAGTTTTTCTAAGTCTTTGACCAATCTAAACGAAACACTCGAGAAATGGTTGGTACTCTAGAATCGTCGAACAGAAAATTAGCAGTGAGTGAAGGCGATAGAGCACGTATCCTGTTACAGTTCCACAAAAGTACGTAAGGATACCAGGGTGAGAGATAACCTTCCATCAACCGAAGTTAACGGCACCATGGCTACAATCACTGTGGAAATTCAGGATGTGCAGCGGGAGTTGACCGGGCTCATTATGTTCCAGGCGGTGGGGCCTGACGGAATTCACAGTGATTGCATGATCGCTGGCTGGCGTCACATTAGGACCGATCTACGAACTATTTAAAAAGTCGCTTAGTCTGTGATCGGTCCCGAACGACTGGCGTAAAGCCAAAGTAGTGGCAGCACACAAGTCTGGATCCCGGAAAAAAAGCCTAGAATTACAGACCAGCAAGTTTGTCATCAGTAATATGTAAATGTTTAGAGCACCTAGTTGGAAGACAAATATGCCGCTACATGGTCAATCGCGAGCTATTGTTACCAGCTCAGCACAGGTTTGTTTAAAAGAGATCTTGTCTGACAAACCTGCTGGTATTTCTAGACGAGGTCACACGTAGAATAGATAGGGGTCTACCGGTGAAGTTATGCTATCTGGACTTCCAGAAAGCATTCCACTCGGTCAACCACTACCTATTAAATCATAATATGCAATCATTGGGAATAGATGGGCAATTCAGGAGATAGGTATTGGGCTTTGCTGCGTATCGGACGTTTAGTGTCAAAGTAGGAGCTCTCACATTCGAGGAGGAGGTGGTCACAAGCGGCGTACCCCAAGGATCCGTACTTGGACCACTGCTGTTCTTGCTCTACATAAACGACCTAGCACGGGATCTCTTAAATCCGTGTGTTCTGTTTGCACATGACGTCAAGATAGCTGGATGGGATCTAGCAAGGGACATAGAGGTAGTCAAAAGATGAGCCGAAAAATGGGACTTGCCACTTTAAGTCTCGAAATGTCAGATACTGACAACCAGAACTGACGAAGAGACAGCAAGGAGCCTGTCAATACAAAGGGTGCACGAGGCAAAGGATCTTGGCATAGTGGTCACGCGGGATTTCAAACCCAGCACCCAATTTGTGAAGGACGCAAACAAAGCCAGGGGACAACAGTTTCGTCTAAGCGCAACCATGACATGCAGAAATCTTGAGAACTTTGTCCCCTTATGCAAAAGCATCGTCCGTCCGCACCTAGAATATTGTGTGCCGGCTTCAGTTCCGTTCTTTCGAAATGACATTGGTACCTTAGAAAGGGTTCAACGTCTAGCCACGAGGATGATAGCTAGGCAACGGGGTAAAAGCTATGAACAACGACTCAGACATTTAAATCTGTTCTTGCTCAAACGGAGGCGGATGAGGGGAGACCTCAACAAGACATTTAAGATCGTCAAGGGTATATCAGGTCTTAGGTTTGACAACCTGTTCGCTTGGGTTCCGCATGGAGACACGCGGGGAAACAACTTACTTTTGCAGCGAATCCACTCTAGGCTGCAACCGAGGGCAACGTTTTTCACTAACAGGGTAATTCCGTTGTGGAACCGGTTGCCCACTGTCAGTGGTAAGCTGCAAAACTGTAGATGCGTTTAAAAAGGCACTTAGTGAGTGTTGGATAACGGTTTTCCCTGAGGTAAGCTTTTAGTAACACCTATAACCTAACCATAAAGGATTTGATACTGCACCACACTATTCTACCTTTCAGAAAAATTGGATATCAAAGTGTGCGAATCCAAGGAAACTTGTCGACAACATACGAATCTGGAAGCTTGATTGGCAAGAGCCACAAATCATCCTGTAAAAACTGAACTGAACTGAACTGAACCTAAACCAAAAAGAGCAATGGACCAAGAACCAAGCATTCGGGAACCCCACTGAAAGCGGAATACCACGCATATAGTGATTTGCCAACACGGAAGCAGAACTTCCGGTTGATGCGGAAGCCTAGCAACCAATTCAGCATGGCCACACCTACACCCAGGTTGGAGATTTTTCGAAAAAGGCGATCGTGCAGCACCTTTTTGAAAGCCTTGCTGATGTCCACGAAGATTATGTCCGTTTCGTGACCTTAAGCCTTGTCTTCGGGCTCGTAGCGAGCTTGAGAGGCATCAACTACCCGGCCGGAAAACGTGTTGGTGGTGATACAGGTGACAGCGGAAAAACAAATGCTGCCGAGTGCGCGCAGCCATCAGTAGCTCTATCACTTTCTCACAACACTATTAAGGCTGAATGATCAGTAGTTTCCAGGGTCACTCCTGTCCCAGCGTTGGGTAGTGAAACAATGACAGCATCCTTTCAATGCCGCGATAAAAGCCCTTATGTGAATAACAAATTGAACAGTTTGTACAGTAGCAATGCAAGTTCATCCGCCAACTCCCTCAGAATAAGCGGATGCACACCATCAGGTCCAGGTAACTGGTGAACCTTTAACCGATGCAGCTCCAGGGCCACTTCTCCGATGATGAATGGAGTCCAGTTCATGGCAGTCTCAGTGCCCGGTAAATGTGCTAATGTGCCCTTGTCTCGGGTGTACATTGAGGCATAATGTGATGCCAACATCTCCGCTTTGTCCTCATCATTTTCGGCTAGTGCCTCGTCTTTGGCGAGAGTCTAAAGACCAGGCGTTGCACTGATTTTTCACCTGAGTTACGCATACAATCGTTTTGGTGCCTGTACAGCATTGACTGCGAATCATTCCTCGAATCTGGTTCTCTTGCATATTTTCAGTGCAATACAATGATTCCGAATACCTCGATATTCCTCATATCGTGCGCTTGCTGCACGGTTGAATTGATTGATCTGTGAAAATCCTTGTAAACCCAGCCATTCCACTTTGGTTCCACATTTCGTGAATTTAACTTTTCATTCACCTAAGACCATCCACCTCATACATACATAGACCTTTGACGCTCAACCTTCATTGAATAGTAACAGGTCTGTGTTACTATTTGACTTCGTTTGTTTTTCTGCTTCATTCGAACCCAATTTGTTTCAAGCGCGTGCTGACCGCTCACGTTTGACTCGCTCGGGTGCAGCGTGATGATTAGCGTGCTCCTTTTATCTAGACTTATTTTCTTCCGTTCAGATTTGTTGGATCATGCCCACAGTAACAAATGGATCTCGTGTTTCCATGTCGATGAATTTTCTATTCTGAATCTTGTATTTTAACACTTTTACAGTGAAGCGTATCTATTAGACACGCGCTTTAAGTGCATTGTGTTTATATGTTGATGGGATTCAGTGCTTTCTCTTACTAATGATAATAATATTGGATGTATATTTCACAAAGCCCGTGAGACATGCACAAGGCATGATCAAATGTTCAGAGTGAGTATATGTACGATAACAGTGTAAGTACATAGGTAGACAATAAAAATGG